ATGTTGCTGGGGTTGCCAATTTGGTATGGCTACCTCAGTGATTACTCAGTTGGCCACTAGTGTCTTGCGTGTGTGGTTACCTCGGGTCTTGGGCCTCTCTGGGGAGCCAACTCTCTGGTCAGCTTGGACTCTGCCGGGCTGCTGGGTGACGGGGTGGTACCGCAGGGTGTCGCTCCTGCTGCTGCTGGTTCCCCCGCTGCTCCCGCCGGCACCACTGCCGCTGGCTCCGCTGGCTCCGCTGCCACCGCTTCCCCTGCTACCACTGGTGACTCTTCCCCCACTGCTGTCGCTGGCACCGCTGCTGCTGGTGCCACTTACGCTGCTGCTGCCGCCACTGCTGCCACCACCTCTGGCTCCTCCGCTGCTGCCGCCGCCGTTACCACTGGTGCCACTTCCTCTGCTGCCGCTGCCTTCGAGGGTGCTGCTGCCACTGCAGCCACTGCCGCCGGTTCCTCCGCTGCTGCTGCTGCCACCGGTTCCCCTGCTATTGCCACTGCCACTGGCTCCGCTGCCGCCGGTTCCTCCGCTGCTGCCGCTGCCGCCAGTTCCTCTGCTGCTTCCGCGGGCGGGCGCAGAGTTGCGCAGTCACCAACTGCAAGCGGTGGCGGCTCCAGCCTTTCTAGGGGCCCGCTCTGGGGTTGGGCTGGGGCAAGTTGCTACCTTTTCTTCTTTCCAAGTAGGCACTGTGATTTCTTCCAGTCCCTGGGGCTCCCGAGTCTTGAGTTTCCACCGCTGCCGCTGCCTTCCAAATATTGGCAGGTTTTGATATTCAATTGTTTTGAGACCTACATAAATGGCAATTTCACATGGTTCAATCTATGACTATCCTCCCCACAATTTCACTATGTATACAAAGTAACACAAAGCAGCCCAAAGATGTTAAGTAATAGGCCCACAGCTAATAAACAGAAGAATCAGAATTCATACTCAGACAGTTGAACTTCACACACCTCACTTTTAACCACAATAACATTTATACTATTACTAAGCTTAAGACACCTGGGAGAGCACAAAGATGTGATTCTGATGAAGACAATGTCTTATTTACCACTATATTCCCAGCATCTAGCATAGTACCTTACATGCAGCAGATGTTAAATAAATATCTGTTGAGGTGATAAAAGAAAAATAATTAAATGAACAAATAAATACAGAGATAGATTTTCTAATTTCCAGTGTCTTACCATCTTATAAAATAAATAATATACGAACAAAAATAATAAGACAGTACAAGGGTACTTCAAAAAGTTCATGGAAAAATAGAATTAGATGACAATACAAATCTTTCCACGAACTTTTTGAAGAACTCCCATACATAGCAGCATAAGAAATATATATACAGTATTATGATAGAGGAAGGACAGATATCATGGAAATGATGTAATAATTTTGAATAGTGGAAGTCGCATAGGTTTTGAATTCATTTACTTAACATTTAATGTGTGCCAGATATGTGCATTGCACTATGAATTAATACTTGGACCCTAATTTAAAGAAACAACTTAATAGGGGCAAACAGATACATAAATCATGACATAACCTTTCTAAGCTTCAGTTTCCCGGTTTGTAAAATGAGAATAATAATTGCTACCTATTAAAAGTCAATAAAATAGGCCAACTGTATAGCAAAATGTTTGATATATTGTGACTGTTCAATAATTATTAATTGTTTTCCATGTTTAACAGTATTTTATTAAATCAATAGTCAATATTTATCTCTGGATAGAGATAAATAAAAAAGATGAAAAACTACACATTTGAATTATTGTATTATTTTAAGTACAGAGATAAATGACACTATTTTATACTACCTACCTATGTGTTAATTAACTTATCCTGGGAGACTTACTTACATTTTTCTTCTGAAGCCTGTAAATATACAAACATCTGATTTAAAATAACAGAATCAGTACTTTTACTATTCTAAATTTATATGCTGGTAACAGCAGGTGCAAGTATATTAGCATGTCTAATTTTCTGTCTGAGGAAAGCCAATTAAGAGAACTGTTTATTCTAAAGAACTGTGAACACAAAGGGTTTGTTTTCCTGCTAAGTCCATTTCCATAAATAATTCTGGTAACTAATTTATACTTTTTTACATTACATTTTTATGCATGAGGCCTGGAACACTGAAGCTGCATTGGGAAAAGAAAACAATATATAAATGCAAAAGGAATCATCAACCCTTGCTTGCAAAAGAGATCAGCAGCAGTCATACAACTACCTCAGCCAACATTTAAATATTCCAAAGGTCAGAGGTCTCAAAACTGTCATTCTGGCTTATGAAGAGGAGAAAGGTTCTGCAAAGATATTAGAGGAATATGTTTGTAAACAAACCCACATGAAATCTTAGGTAAGAACAAAAAACCTCTAAGGAACATAATAAGTAATGTAGAAGGCAATGAATCATCCTGCCATGTGTGTACTATATAAAGGTCACGTTCACAGTAGCTCCAGCAACTGCACTTTCCAAAGTTTCTCACATAACAAGAGATCCTTCACAGTAAACCCACAAGCAGCTATGGGATTCAAAAACTCAGTAAAACCTTTTATACTTTATTTCATCAACCATATGTAAAATATATAAATCTCACTGTTTTTCCCTTTGAAATCTCTTCAGATACTTTCTGAGCACAGAATATACTCCCAAGCCTTCTAGCACTATATATACAAAGATGAGTAAGACTCATAATGTAGTCACAGTTAAAGAGAGGAGAAAGACACACTGAGAAATAATTAGATACGGGAACTAATAAAAGCATAACAAGATGTTGACATCCCAGATGTGAAGGCATCTTGGGCGCATTAGTAGCAATTTCATAAGGGAGGTCAACATATGAGCAGAACTTTAAAGAATGCATGGAAATCTCTCAGGTCAAAAAAGGCAGAAAAGGCATCAAGGAAGAAGAATAATATAAACAAAAACATGAAGGCATAAGAATACATGTTATCTTTGAGAAACAAAGTTTCATGTGGCTGAAGCACTGGTACAGGGGTGAAGTGGTAAGGGCAAGAAATGAACCTTCCTATGAAGGGTCTTGTATGTTTTGCTACCTAATCTAAAAAGTTCAAGCAAAAAAAAAAAGTTTGGGCAGCAATCTGAAGTATCTGGGGTAAGTGACATGATCAGGTTTGTGTAATAAGGTCAGTAGAATTCTTATAAAGTGTTATAAAGCGTAGCATAAGGCAAGTATTCAATTAGCATTCCTATTATTACTATGAGAAAATGTGCATAACAGGAACAAAAAGAATAATCACCTTATGTCTTTGATAGTGGCTCGTTTCAGGGGGTCTACCTGCAGCATATGCATCAGGAGAGTGGCAACAGAACGATTGAGATATTCTGGGATATAAAAAACACCCCCTCGGATCTTCTTAAATAATGTAGGTACATGTTCATCATCAAATGGGAGGGTGCCACAAAGAAGAGCATACAAGATAACACCACAGCTCCAGATATCAACTTCAGGACCCGCATACAATCTAAGAAAAAAGATGACAAATGCAAGTAACACTTTTTCTCATCTACATGTACACTGTATCTATATATGCACAGTATAGACTCAATATATATTGATTTCCAAGGTCTTTAATGAAAGTCCATGACTACTCCCCAACACTCAGTGGCTGTTCCCCAAAGAGAATAACTGCTCTAAGTACTACTCAAGTTTGCCAAGAGAATATCGTATCTTTGTTTGTCACAAACGTATGTAACTGTAACTTACTAATTAAAAAATTTAACAATTTCTATGGTTGATTTTTGAGAGAAACATCAAAATAGATAACCATAAACTTGAAAAATAAATACAGTGTATAAGCTAAATCTTTTTCACACTGAACAATTATAAGAAAGAATAGAATTTTTATCCCTAGCACATCTATTTTGAAGATTATTTAAAACATAAAGTACCTAACTAGTCCTGTGTAGACAGTATTTACCCTGTATTACATTATTCTGAGTACCTACTACTTTCATTCTAATCACTTGCTAGCTCATAAAACTAAGATTACTGTTGCTCCAGATAACCTATGCCTAGGTTATTCCTTTTTCCTCTCACCTTTCTACACCTTTAAAATTCCTCTGATAGCACATTACCAAACTCAGACCTCGATCTGAGGTAACAAAGTAAATCTCTACAATTCCAATGAAAAGAATATAATCTGTTAACATAAAAACTGCTGTCATTTACTTCATTTGCTATACTGTCCAAACTCTTTGCAAAGACTGAATGTTGATCTTCCTCCCCACCCCGCCCCCGTCAAATCCTTATGTTGAAATCCCAACTCCCAAGGTGATAGTATTAGCCCTCGTCAATGGGATTTGTGTCCTTATAAAAGAGACTCCAGACTCCTCACCCCTTCCACCACGTGAGGTTACAGTGAAATGACAGTAATTTATGAGGAAACAGGTCCTCACGAGACACCAAATCTTCTGGCACCTTGATCTTAAACTTCCCAGCTTCTAGAACTGTGAGAAGTAAATTTCTGTTTTTTATAAGCCACCCAGTTTACGGTATTTTGTTATAGCAGCCCAGATGGACTAACACACTCCTATATCTGCTACTTGAAATAATATCTTTTCAATATTTCCTCTCATAGAATTCTGTTAAATTTTTAAATCAGACATTGGTCACTGTAGAAACACTTGAGTTTACCAGTATAATCTGTATTAACATTTTTATAATGCACCAATGAGTAAGTTACATGAGTAATTATACAACCTCCACTAATACAGTTTAACTTCATGAAAAAACAATCCTATCCCCCCAAATTTCATTTTTCCAAAGACAAAACATAAAACAACTCTATATACTTTATAAAATATCTAAAGTACGATTAAAGGACTGTGTCTGGTAAATAAATAATGACACTAGCTTAAATTTAGCAAATACTTCCTCTCTTATCTGTACTTTCCTAAAATGAAAAAGATATATTAAGTCAAGATCTATCTCAGTCATTTTTTTAATGGAAAAAACTTCATAAATACATTGATAACAACATCTAAATGAAACATTAAAATATTTTTAATTCAACCATTCCCCCTTCAAATATATTGTCCAAACAATGGAAAAATAAATGAACAATTTATTTCTACCATGTTAAAAATCTTATCTTCCAAAGAGGATATATTATAATTAAGTGTTATTAGGATAAACCCAAGATTACAAAAAGCTTATTCTTCACTGATATATTATTACCTGCCTGAGATGACTTCAGGTGCTGCATAATTTGGAGATCCACAACTAGTTCGCAGAAACTCACCATCTGACATCATATTAGATAATCCTAAAAATAAAAGTAACGTTTACTTGGTGCTAAATATTTTTAAAAGTAGATGTAGATAAATACATAAGTAAAATTCAAGTCTTTAATACTCCATACATCATTTTTTTTAATTATTAAAAAAAAACCAGTGGAAAGTATTTGTTAGACTAGAAAGAGACCATTTCAGAGTGCTTACACTATGACAAAAAAAGCTAAAGAAGATCACATGTATGATTGAAATTAAATTTCCTTTCAAAATAAAAATGTTGATTCACCTCATAAAGAGATTATTCTAAATTATATCAACTTTTCCAAATATGAAAGCATCAAAATTTATTTACTTACTTCTGCAGTTGGAAGTATGAAATAGACTACCACTTTTTTATACTATGCTTTCAAAAGCCTTTTTAAAAAAATCTGCAATTAGAAATCAGACAGGCCCCAATTCATAAAGATTATGTTCCAAAGGTTTTTAATTTGGAAACCTTCAATTCAACTCAGAAAAAATAATCTACTGAAACAAAAATCTAATTGAACTATAGTACTAAATGAGTTTCATGACTTATAGCAGAAAGAGAAATACAGAACTAGTTTTCTGGTTTTTAGATTAAAGACAAGGTATAGACAAAAAATTTAAATAAGCAACACTGCACCTTTCCATATCTCCTTCTTTAATCTCTCACTTCTTAATTTTTTTCTCAAACACCCTGCTATGGCATCCTTACCAGATATGTTTACCCCAGAAAGTGTTTGGAACATATAAATCACATTTTACCTTTTCTTTTATAGCTTATAAAAACTCCTGTTTTCTTATCAAGTTGTTAGATGTTACCCTATGATCCACAGACCTTTCCATGGATCTATTTATAAGAACTATAAAGCTTTTTCCAAAACTGCATGGAAATTTTCATGTACCTCTGTTCGTAAGCCTTCATCAGATTTTCAAAGGAGTTTGGGACTCCTCCTCTCCCCACCTCCACCAAAAAACAGTTAAGTGTCATGTCCTTAGGAGGAAATGCAGATTGAATGAATTTGTCTTGATGCTAGCCCTCTAACTTCACTAGAGGTATCTGCATTTTTTTAATTTTTAAAAATCTTTTTTCAACCTGTGCTGAGGTGAACCCAGCAGAGGCAGCAGCATCGGTACTGCACGGCTAGAGGCGGCCCCTCCCAGCTCCTTGGACTCTGAGGGGTTAGCGCCAGCCCGCCCTGCGCCCCAGAACCCGAGTTGAGCCCAGCAGCAGCGGCAGCAGCCCCTTCCCCCCAACTCCCCTCCTTGGACCCCGCGGGGAGCACCAGCCTGCGGGGTCTGTCCTGCTGAGGTGTGCCCAGCAGGACCACTCGGTGGTAGGGGCTCATTCTACAACCACAGATTCTGGAACAGGAACCAAGGTGATTAACCATAACCACCACCATACCTACTGTCAAGCAAAGACAATTCACCTCCACAGTAGCAACCAGGGCCACTCCACAGCCAACTTCAGTGTGACAGAAGAAGCAAACCCTCTATGAAATGACCAAACATCAACGAAAAAATACTAGAAGTACAAACAATCAAGAAGAAATGACACCACCAAAAGAATACAGTAATGCTCCAAAATCTGACTCCATAGAACCTTGAAATGTCTGAAAAAGAATTTCCAGCAAAGATCTTAAGAAAACTCAAAGAAATAAAGGAAGACTGAATTAGAGAACACAATGAAACAAGAAAAAAATATCCAGAATATGAAGGAGGAAATCTACAAAGAGATTAATATCTTAAAAAAGAGTGTAGCAGAACTTCTAGAAATGAAAGATTCACTCAATGAAATAAAAAACACAACTGGGAGCTTGAGCAGCAGGGTAGAACAAGCAGAAGAAAGAATTTCAGAGCTTGAAGATGGTCTTTTTGAAATGACTCAGGCAGACAAAAAAAAAAAAAAAGGAAAAAAGAATTAAAAATAATAAGGAAAATCTAAGAGAGATAGCAGACAACTCCAAGCACTCTAACATCCAAATCATGGGTATTCCTGAAGGGGAGGAGAAAGGAAAAGGTATTGAAAACCTACTCAAGGAAATAGTAACAGAAAACTTCCCAGGTGTAGGGCGAGATACAGACCTTCAGATCAAGGAAGCTCAAAGGTCCCCAAACAGATTCAACCCAAAAAGATCCTCCCCAAGACACATTATAGTTAAATTTGCAAAGCTCAAAGGCAAAGAGAGAATTCTACAACAAGCAAGAGAAAAGCATCAGGTCACGTATAGGAGAACCCCCATCAAACTAACAGCAGACTTCTCAACTGAAACCCTACAGTCCAGAAGAAAGTGGAATGATATATTCAAAATACTAAGAGAAAAAAATTGCCAGCCAAGAATTCTTTACCCCTGCAAGGCTCTCCTTCAGAAATGAGGGAGAAATAGTGTATTTGCCAGACAAACAAAAGTTGTGGGAGTTCACCACCACATGACCATCCCTGCAAGAAATTCTCAAGTGAGTCATTCATCTGGAATTGAATAATGATGACCACTATCACAAATACAAAAGAAAGAGCAAAGCCCACTGTTAAAACAAAAATGCCAGCAAGAAAGAGAAAGAAGTTAAATCATCACACCTTAAATTCACAATTAACATTGAAGAAGAGAAATAAAAGGGGAAATAATGATCAAAACATATCTAAAACATCTAAACAAGAAGCAATTAAATGATAGGAATTAAGCAACACTTGTCAATAACTACTCTAAATGTGAATGGACTAAACTCCCCATTGAAAAGACACAGACTGACTGGATTAAAAAGCTAGACCCAAGTATATGCTGTCTTCAAGAGACCCACCTTACCTGTAGAGACACGCATAGACTAAAAGTGATGGGATGGAAAAAGACATACCATGCAAATGGAAATCAAAAACAAGCAGGAGTAGCTATTCTTATATTGCATAAAATAGACTTTAAACCAAACAACATAAAAAAAGACAAAGAAGGCCATTATATAATGATAAACGGGTTCATCCAGCTAGAAGACATAACAATCATAAACATGTATGCACCCAATACCAGAGCACCCAGATATATAAAGCAAACACTCTTAGACCTAAAGAAAGAAATAGGACCTAATACATTAAGAGTGGGTGATCTAAACACCCCTCTCTCAGTGTGGGACAGATCTTCCAGGCAACAAGTCAACAAAGAGACACAGGATTTAATCTACACCCTAGACCAACTGGACTTGGCAAATACATACAGAACATTTCACTAACAACTAAGGAATACACTTTCTTCTCAACAGCTCATGGTACATTCTCCAGGATAGACCACATATCAGGTCACAAATCTAGTCTCAGCAAACTTAAAAAATCGAAATCATTCCAATGCTCTTTCAGACCAAAATGGACTAAAATTGGAAATAAACAATAAGCAAAATGCTGGAAGCTATACAAATACACGGAAACTAAATAATAGGCTCCTGAATGACCTATGGTACCAAGACAAAATTAAACAGGAAATGAAAAAATTCCTAGAAACCAATGAAAATATAGATACATCATACCAAAACCTGTGGGATATGGCAAAAGCAGTACTAAGAGGCAAATTTTGCAATAAATGCTTACATCAAAAGAATGGAAAGAATTCTCATAAACGACTTAACACTATGCCTCAAAGACCTTGAAAATCAACAACAATCCAAACCTAAAGGTAGCAAATGGAAAGAAATAATTAAGATCAGAGCAGAACTAAATGAAATAGAGACCCAAAAAACAATAGAAAAGATCCACAAAACTAAAAGTTGGTTTTTCAAGAAGATAAATAAAATAGACAAAACATTAGCTAGGTTAACAAAAAAAAAAAAAATAAATAAGACAGAAGACCCAACTAACAAAAATCAAAAATGAAAGGGAGACATTACAACTAATACCACAGAGATACAAAGAATCACTAGAGACTATTATAAACAATTGTATGACAACAAATACAAAAATCTGGAAGATATGGAGAAGTTTCTAGACACATACAAACTACCAAGACTGAACCACGAAGAGATAGAAAACCTGAACAGACCAATAACAAGCAAGGAGATTGAAGCAGTAATTAGCAATCTTCCAACAAACAAAAGTCCAGGTCCAGATGGTTTTACAGCCGAATTCTATCAAACTTTTAAAGAGGAGTTAATACCTATTCTCCTCAAACTATTCCAAACAATTGAATCAGATGCTACTCTCCCAAGCTCATTCTATGAGGCCAACATAACCCTGATACCAAAACCAGATAAAGACACAACAAAAAAAGAAAATTATAGGCCAATATCCTTGATGAACCTAGATGCTAAAATCCTCAACAAAATATTAGCAATCAGAGTACAGCAACATGCTAAAAAAATTACACACTATGATCAAGTGGGATTCATCCCAGGGATGCAAGGATGGTTCAAGATACAAAAGTCAATAAATGTGATATATCACATCAACAAACTCAAGGACAAAGACCACATGATTATCTCAATAGATGCTGAAAAAGCATTTGACAAAATTCAACATCACTTCATGATAAAGACTCTCAACAAATTAGGTATAGAAGGAAAATATCTCAACACAATAAAAGCCACTTATGACAAGCCCACTGCCGGTATCATTCTCAATGGGGAAAAACTGAAGGCCTTTCCCTTTAGAACACAAAAAAGACAAGGATGCCCACTCTCACCACTTCTATTTAACAAAGTACTAAAGGTACTAACCAGAGCAATCAGGCAAGAGGAAAGAAATAAAGGGAATCCAGATTGGAAAAGATGAAGTCAAACTTTCTGTATCTGCAGATGACATGATAATAGACACAGAAAAACCTAAAAACTCTATCAAAAACCTCTTAGAGTTAGTTAATAACTTCAGTAGTGTTGCAGGATACAAAATAAATGTCCCCAAGTCAGTAGCATTTATATACTCAAACAATGAATTAACAGAAAGAGAAATAAAGAAAGTAAGCCCATTTACAGTTGCCACAAAAAAAAAATAAGATACCTAGGGATCAATTTAACCGAGGAGGTGAAAGACCTCTACAATGAGAACTACAAATCACTTCTGAAAGAAATTTAAAAAGACACAAAAAGATGGAAAGATATTCCCTGCTCTTGGATTGGAAGAATTAACATTGTGAAAATGTCTATACTACCCAAAGCTATCTACAGATTCAATGCAATCCCCATCAATATACCAATGCCATTCTTCACAGAAATGGAAGAAACAATCTTACCTTTCATATGGAAAAACAAAAGACCCCAAATAGCCAAAGCAATCCTGAGCAAAAAATAAAGCTGGAGGCATAACACTACCTGACTTCAAATTACACTACAAAGCTATTGAAACCAAAACAGCATGGTACTGGTATAAAAATAGACATTCAGACCAGTGGAATAGAATTGAGAACCCAGATAACACCCCTCAGGCTTATAGCCATCTGATATTGGACAAAGGTGACAATGGTAACAAAAATCTACATTGGGGAAAAGACTGCCTCCTCAACAAGTGTTGCTGGGAAAACTGGATATCCATATGCAGAAGAATGAAACTAGATATGCATCTCTTAAATCAACCCAAAATGGATTAAAGACTTAAGTATAAGACCTGAAACTGTAACATTACTAAGGGAAAATATAGGTGAAACACTTCAGCAATTAGGTCTGGGAACAGGCTTTATGAACATGAGCCCAAAAGCACAAGCAGCAAAATAACAAATAAACAAATGGGACTATATCAAACTAAAAAGTTTCTGCACAGCAAAGGAAACAATCAACAGAGTGAAATGACAACCTATAGAATGGGAGAAAATTTTTGCTAACTATACATCCAACAAGGGATTAATATCCACAATATATATAGAACTCCAGCAATTATACAGTAAAAAAACAAATGACCCAATTAAAAAATGGGTAAAGGAACTAAGCAGACATTTTTCAAAGGAAGACATACAAATGGCCAACAGACATGAAAAAATGCTCAACGTCACTAGTCATCAGGGAAATACAAATTAAAACTACATTGAGATACCACTTCACCCAAGTTAAGACTGGCTATAATCAAAAAGATGATGAACAACAAATGCTGGCAAGGATGTGGAGAGAAGGGGGCACTCCTACACTGTTGGTGGGACTGTAAATTAGTACAACCACTATGGAAAACAGTATGGAGTTTTCTCAAACAACTACAGATAGATCTTCCATACGATCCAGCAATCCCTCTTCTGGGTATATACCCAGAGGAATGGAAGTCATCACATCGAAGGGATACCTGCACTCCCATGTTCACTGCAGCTCTATTTACAATAGCCAAGATATGGAACCAACCTAAATGTCCACTGATGGATGATTGGATAAGGAAAGTGTGTGTGTGTGTGTGTGTGTGTGTATACACACACTACTCTGCCATAAAAAAAAATGTAATACTCCCATTTGCAACAACATGGATGAACCGTGAGAAACTTATGTTCAGTGAAATAAGCAAAACAAAGAAGGATAAATACTGCATGTGTTCACTCATATGTGGGAGCTAAGAGAGAAGGGAAGGAAGGAAAGAAAGACCACAGTAGCACAGTGGTCTTACAGAGGGAGGAAACATTCATAGGGCTGCAAAGCGGAGTAGGGGGGAGGAGGGTAGAGAGGGAGGGTGCTTGGGGGACAATTGGGTGGGGACACAATATAAAAGCAATTTCTGGTAATTTGTATCTCATGAATATTCATAATAATAAAAAAATAAAATTAATACATACATACATAAAGATTTAATTCCTTTAAAAAAATCTTTTTTTTACATAGGTCTCAGAAGCAAGATTATTTTTTAAAATTTATTTATTGAATCGAAATCGCTTATATATATTTTTGGGGTTGAACATTGAGATATGTTGATTTTTATTGAATCGAAATCGCTTATATATATTTTTGGGGTTGAACATTGAGATATGTTGATTAAATCAATATTACTAGCATATATATTGTTACAGATCGTAATTATTCTTTATGCCCCTTGTCCAACCTCTCCCCTTCCCTCAATCCCTCCCCCTCCCCCCCAATTGCCCTAGATTTCTTCTCTCCTTCCTAAAAAATAATGGTTACTCTGTTAATTTGTTGCCTAGATGATCTGTCCAATGCTGAGAGATGTGATCAGGTCCACCAATATTATCATAGAGAAGATGGTTCTTCTGTCACTCTGAAATGGGTTTTGTGGAAAGAGACATCCTCTTCTTTTCTTTGTCTCTGCTGGTGACTCTTCTTGTATGAATGCACTCCAGTGGTTGGCGGACCATCTGCGTGGTGGTTGTTACGTCTAGCCGCTTTTGCAGCAGCCATGGTTATTGTGGTGACTGTGGTGGGCCACCCACGTGGAGGTGCTGTTTTTGGCATGCTCCTGGGAACTGGTGGTATGCCTGGTTGTGAAGTGTGTTTGGTCCCCTTCTCCAAGCCTCTGGTCCCTTGGCAGGCCCCAAGGCACTGGCGCCATATGCCTAGTTGTGGGAGAGGGGTCCAGTCCCCTTCTTCATGTCCCAGGTCCCTGGGCAGTCCCCAAGGTGCTGGTGCCATGTGCCTGGTTGTGGGAGGAGGGTCCAGTCCCCTTCTTCATGCCTCTTGGCCGGGCGTGCCCCTAGGTGCTGGCATGGTGTGCCTGGTTGTGAGAGGGGGTGTCCAGTTGCCTTCTCTGTGCCTCGGGTACCCGGGCTGTCCCTGAAGCACTGGTGCGGTGTGCCTAATTGTGGGAGAGAGGATCATTCCCCTTCACCTTGCCCCGGGTCCCTAGTTGGGCTCTGAGTTGCTGGCATGTTGTGTCTGGTTGTGGGAGAGAGGTCCAGTCCCTGACTCCATACCCCGGGCCCCTGGGTGGGCCCCAAGATGCTGGCTCAGTGTGCCTGGTTGTGGGAGAGAGGTCCAGTCCCCTTCTCCATGCCCTGGGTCCCTGGGCGGGCCCCAAGGTGCTGGCGTGGTGTGCCTGATTGTGGGAGAGAGGTTCAGAAGCAAGATTTCTGAAAGTGTATTCAAATTAATAGAACAAGTGAGTACAAAAACTGCAATTAATCCCTTTTCACAGTATAGGATTTACAAGGCTAAAATTGAAAGGTCTTAGTTCTGTAAGAGTTGTTACTGACACACTTTAAAAGGCAGCTAGTTCATTTCTGAACAACCCTGGAGTTACATACCAAAATCAGCTATCTTGGCATTCATGTGTGCATCCAATAGCACGTTCTCTGGTTTCAGGTCTCGATGAACAACCATGTGCCTGTGACAGTAATCCACCGCAGACAGAATCTGCTGAAAGAGCCTCCTGGCTTCCATCTCTTCAACCTGTCAAGTATAAATGAAACTGCATTAAAAATATCTGGGACATCTACTTAGCATGAATTTTAGTTTCATAATCCGCCTAAATACATCTAAGCAAGATAGAATTATGTTGGAATTCTCAACAAATCAGATAAAACAACCTACCAAAACTTTGTCAAGCCTCAACAAATCAATAGACAGGTATTCCTTTGATACTAGATAGTAATATTTAATTTTTAATTAATATTACTGAATGTGCCGAATATTTGGGGGAATTAACAGTAAAACAAACTAAAATAGAACTTATGCAAAAGTACTAAGAAAACGAAATAACTGAAGCTTCAACATGATTTTAAGGAACAGATTTTGAAAAGTATATGCATCATATTGGCAATTAAGTGGAACACATTTCCTAAAATCAGCACATAGAAAGGTATACTTTTAAAAACAATTTTGCCTAATACTCCATGTTTATTTTAGCTGGGCATTATTACAAGAAACGACTCTGACTTTGAAGATATCTTGTGGTTGGCTATTTCCCAATACTTTCGTCTTTTTTTGTTTTTTTCTAAGCTTAGTGTACTAGATAGTATGTTACTCACCCGTCCATGTTTACAGATGTAGTCAAATAATTCACCTCCAGACACATATTCCATTACCATAAAAAAATCTGTGGGAGTGCTGATCACCTGGTATCTTTTTTGTAAATGAAAAAAAAAAGTTAATAAAAAATGTCACTTTAACCAAAATCAACCTAATATATCTACTCTTGCTACAATTTTATATTCCAGTGTTTTACAATATTTTAAGATGGCAACAAATCATATAACATTTTCAAAATAATCACAGAGGTATACACATGGAGCATTATAAAATTATTCTACTTCCTGAGGCTCATGGACTCTCCTTCAGATCCTCCCTTTCATGTTTACATAATCTTTGAAATCCTTCATTCTTCAACAACTAAGTTTCCATTTAAACAAAAATTTGTTTATAGTCCAAGATGAAGTATCATATATTTAAACAACATAAATAAAAAATACTTTTGAACATGTAAAATGATACCACACAGATACAATCAACATAATCCAGAAGGCAGACAAACGGCCCTTTCTTCAACAAATAAAGTGCAATAAAAAAGGGAAAGGGAGAGGGGCTTTTGGGAGAGGTAGGGTGGGGGACATGGGGAATAATGGCAATTTGAGGTGGTGGGGCATGCTGACAGCATTGATTTGCTCACCACATCTTGGGCACAGGTGCTGACAGCTCTTGCCCCATGAATATGTATAATCAATAATAAAATAAATTAATTAAAAAGGGAAAGGAGAAGCTATATATTAAAAGTAATTCAAGAAACATATTGGCCAACTTTACAGTATAGAGTTGTTTTGAGTCTAACCCAAACAAATGAACTTTCAACACCATTTATGAAACAATCAATAATCTAAATACTGACTAGATGGTTGATAATATCATTAAATATTTTAATTTTTAGATGTGATAATGGTACTGTGCTTATGTTATTTAAAATTAAGAGAGTCCTCATCTTCTAGAGTACAAGGTCCTAAAGAGTTTACAGATTAAAAACATAATGTTTTAGATTAGCTTCAAAATCATCTGGAGTGGGGCCGGCCCGTGGCTCACTCGGTAGAGTGCGGTGCTGATAACACCAAGGCCGCGGGTTCGGATCCTATATAGGGATGGCCGGTTTGCTCACTGGCTGAGCGTGGTGCTGACAACACCAAGCCAAGGGTTGAGATCCTCTTACCGGTCATCTTTTAAAAAAAAAAAAAAATCATCTGGAGTGGGGGAAATAGGAGGAAGCAGATCAACAATACATTGACATTTGTTAAAGCTGAATGACAGATACATGGTGCCTCATCACTTTACTTTTGTATATGTTAAGAAATTTCTGTAACATATGATTAAATGCGTGTGTGTGTGTGTGTGTGTGTGTGTTTCTAGGCACTCAAAGCTGGGCATATTAAAAAATAAAGAATCTCAGCTTCATTTAACAAAATAAATTTTTTCCTTAAAAACTACAACTTCCCCCTATACACACAATCTTACCTTGAAAACCTTGAAAATGAGTGAATATAATATTAATCTTCTAACTGAAAGCTGCATTTAATATTTATACATATGAACAATTAACTTTTTAAAATAGTTTGCTTTGTTTATAAAGAATTATCTACAGTCTAGTTGATCATGAGCAATGTCTAGTTTATAACGAGTTACTACTTAGGGCCACTAAGTAGAGCTGTGTAGTTACTGCATGGCTTAAGGGCACAAGGAGAAGCTGATGCCACCTTCCAGGCAGTGCACCTTGACACAGTATGTGTCAGAATCAAAGGAACCTTTGGTAATTTGTCCTCCGAGACGGGGAACCTTTTATTACTGTGACAAAAACAAGTATGTGCTAGCTGGTGGGTCTTGTTACTACTCCCCTTAAAGAAAAGAGGAAAATTGGCCAGAGAGTTGGTGATTTAACTACATGCTACGCATTTTAAGAGAGGACATATCACATAAAAATTAAACACTTGAAAAGTAAAATATTAAAGCTATAGTATTGAAAATGATTACAGATTTTCCGGGAAAAGAAAGTATTTCTAATAGAAATCTTTAGTTTTCGAGAAGAAACATGGCAAGGTACTCACTTTACATAAAATAAATTAATATAACTGAAGAGTAAAGTTGAGACTATTTCAAATGAACTGTGTAATTTTACCTGAAAACTCTAGAAGAAATGGTTTTATAAAAGCTATCTTAACAGGCACCAAACTGATCAAATAAACTGAATAGTGTAGGGCAGGAGCATCTACTGTTATCACCTCACTGTAGGCTGATCTGATTTATTACCAATTCTCACTTATGTGCTCTGTACATCCTAGAGGGGACACAAGAGAAAAGACGTGATGAAAATCTAATAAATAAATGTAGTTCTAATTCTTCTGAGTATATCACAGGTTTTCAATAGATACTGATGGAATTAATGATTTCACAAAACCTCTAACTCCAGAGCAGCCACTGTCCCACATCCAAGGCCAATCTAGCACAATGAAAACCATAGCTAACATTACTGAGCACTTACTGTGTGCCAAACACTGAGCTCCTAAATGGTGACACTTCATATTTATTGAGTACCTACTTGTATTGTACTTGTTGAGATCAACAGTTTGTTCCTCTACTTGTGGAGCTAACAGTCTAGCCAGAAAGACAGACATTAAACGAGGACTTCAGACACAAATCTAATCTTCAGTAACCTCCTAATTTAAAATCTTTAGGTTTCCCATTACTCTTAGGTCCTGAATAAATCAGGGCCCTGTCACCTCTGTTGTGTGTCTCACCTTTGATTCCCATCACTACAGTCACACTACTTTTTTTAGTTATTAGTCATGCTGTACTCCCTCCTGCTACAGCTCCTTTGTATACACTGTTTCTGCTGACTTGAACCCTATATTATGACCTGTACCCCACCCTTCCACTGGTTACTAATCATCCTTTAGATCTCAGCTTAAAGGTCACTCCCTAAATCCAGGTCAGGTGATTTTTGTGCTCACAGATGCATTTCCCTTAGCTCCAGAGCAGGTACTTAGTTTGTAATTGTCCATTTTATTATTATGATAATTTGATTCATGAGTATGTACCTAGCAAAGTGCCTATAACAAAGCAGGGATTTAAATAAATGTGTAAATTAGCACTTTTAAATAATGTGAGCAGCTTGGAGCCAAAACCAGAATAATCTGAGACTGAAAAACGATAGCAAAATTATAGCAAAACGTCAACCAATACAATTTCAACTAACCAGAATGGGGTGGGGACTAAAGAAAATGACTTCTAGAACAGGGAAGTCCTGAGAAAACAGCTTCGTATGAGGAATTTAGTGGAAAAGGCAAATTTCAGGATTATGTTCTAAGTCTGGCCTGAGTAAGTCAAATCTCTTGTGCCCTCTAAATAATACTTATATTGATGCATCATATGAAATTCAATCATAAATCACTTACACAGTCAGCATTATTTCCTTAATGCAGCAGAAATGTAAACTAAAGTGCTTTAGAAAAATTTTCAGAAACAGCATTTCTAACTAAGCAAAAAAAATTTAATTATCCAGGAAAACCATAAGCATTTCCCAGTTGGCCAAATTATATGCATTTTTAGACAATATCCATATAAAATAGCATATAAAACTCAGGGAAAAAAGATATCTCTGAAGTTAGCCAAAAATTAACATTCATGAGTACACATTCCTGGTGGTCATAGCTATTGAGATTTTCAAATATTATTTATATAGCTATGTATACAAAATAAGATTTTTCTTTAATTAGAACTCAGTTAAATAAAAATGAAGTAACCATCACCCTTGACTCATGGCACTCATCTTCACTAGTGTATAAATGTGGTTTTTATTTAATTAATTACAATTTTTAATAATATAATCACCTATACACCATCACCCAGGCAAAAAGGCAGGACCCTGACACCACCTTCCATCTAACCATATGGGGGGTCGCCCTTCCCATCCCACTGCTTCTCACCCAAGGCAGCCATCAGGCTGAATCCTCTGTCCATCCTTTCCTTGCTTTCTCTTTTATAGTTTTATTTATATGAGCGTACTTCAAAAAGTTCATGGAGAGATTCACATTATTCTTAATTACATTTCTCCATGAAGTTTTTGAAGTACCCTAGTATATATACATATATGTGTGTGTATCCCTTCTTTCTTCATATACATATTTCATATATATGAATAACTCATATTCACATACATATTTTTAATTTTTATTAGCTTTAAAAAAGGGTATCATGCTACATGTAATATGTGGGGACTTATTTTATTGAGATTCATCCATATTGTTATGTTTGCTATAGTTATTTGATTTAACCACTATATAAAACTCCACTGGATTTATTCATCTACTCTTCTGCTAACAGAGAGGCTATTTAGTCATCTACTCTACCACTACAGAGTATTCAGGTTGTTTCTACAATTTTCTTGTTATTTGCTGCTATGAACATTCTTGTACCTGGCAAGATTTTCTGTCTGTTATATACCGATAAGTGGAGTCGCTGAGTCACAGTCTATGTGAATGTTCAATTTTAGGATATAATGCCAAATGTTTTCCAAAGAGTCTGGCAATGCTAAAATCTTTAGAAAGCTTGTAGATTTATATATTCTCCAACACTTATAAAACACGATACACATTTCCTCTTATGAAATTCTTAATTGTGTGTTTTGCCCATTTTTATTGGGTTGATGGTGCTTTTCTTATTTATGAATGGACACACACAAATAAATCATTTTCTATAACATTCTACAGTATATGATAATATGTCTTGGTTATTAACTTTATAAAAGTTTACAGTTCCAATCATCAATTCACATTGAATCTGGCTTTCATTTTCTCTGTAAATACATCTGTACATGTCTCTAAAGGATAACTTTTTAAAATGTGTGCATGTGTTTATATATGTGTGTATTGAGACAATATGCAATTTTATCATGAAATAAACTTTAAAAATCATGAATGTTATCAAATATCCAATCGGAAGTTTTCTTGATTAGCTTATAATGCTTTTGTTTTGTTCTGTTTTAATTGAATTAGGATCCAAATACAATCCATATATTACAACTGGTTGATATGTCTCATATCTTTCAATTTATAGTTCGCTCCTCTGTCTCTGCTTTTTTTCTTGCA